GTCTGGCTGTGTCACTCACTTTTTACTAGCTTAGTATAACAAAATGTCGGAGACGGACAGTGGGACAGCGGAGTGCTGGGAGGCGGCGGCAGATGACAACGGCGACAGTGTGGAGGCGGCGAGCTCGGCCATGACCACGACCCTCAACGTTAACGCCCCGGTCTTCATTCCCAACGTGAATGCCCCAGAGTTCGTCCCCAGTTTTATGAAGGACAACGCAGGACACACCCAGCCAGCGGCGCCAGGTAAACCAGGGTCTTGCGGGTTATCTTTGGGCACGGGACAGAGGCCGGTTAAAGGCGACACTTCGTGGAAGAAGGTAACAGCTGCTTGACTAACCCCTCGCGTTTCTCGGAATTTTTCAGAGAGCGCTCTCCGTTCTTGATTTTGGGGGAGGTAACTCTAATTCTAGTGTTATTGGGCATCACCTGGATTATGCCCACGAGCCACGATATCACGCCAAAAACTCTCCATAGCGGCAAATGTAGTTAAAGGTCTGGCAATCATGTGCCTAATTTCATCACATTGTGTGGTAGCTCGCGTGGAGGTCAAAGCCCTTATCAAGTGACACTAGCATATTTGTCAAAGAAGCAGTAGTGTGTACTATAAAGAAAGTTGTTTACTGCTTGCAGGGATTCAATGGCTTATACTTACCCATAAAAGGGTGTTCTCTAGGAACAGCATCCTGTAAGGTCCCAAAGTCTGTGAGCTTCCATGCAGCATTTTTGGGTATGAGTGAATAAAAAAAACAAACTAATATGAATATTCCCTCTTTCGTCTACTTACCAGATATAATGGTTTAGAAGTAACACAAACCTCCTTTGGTAATTGATGCAGCAGGAGAGGATGTGAAGAGAAGTAGGAAATGGCTGGATATACATTAGAGAAAAAAAAAGTAAATTAAATGAGCAACATGGTTAAGAGAGTGATTCCTGACTTTGCGGTTAATTGACTGTTAGAACTATAAGATCTATCATAACAGCTGTGCTCTTTTGATTACTCTGGTATATTTGTTATTTTACTATTGTTGGTTTCTTTAATAGTTGTTAGAAGTAATCATAGCAGTGTTTTGTAATACAGGTAATTTCCTAGAACAACTTCGCATCCTAAAACCCAGCATACATGAATTTGGTTGGCATATGACAGCAATAGGTGGGTAGGGCATTAGATATCAGGAAATGACGGGGTCAAAGCATACAGTTTTTGTCCTAGCGCAATGCCACCTCCACCCAGAATTTGGGTTATGTTGACATTATTGAGGGGTCAAAAATGGGTGTGCCCTCGGGCTGTGGGGCAGCACAGAGTGGCAAGCGGACAGACAGCTGTCTCCTTAAGCTAGCCATGGGTGATTATTTTTTAAGATAACAGTGGCTACAAAATGTACCCGGCGTGACTGGGTTAAGCTGCTGTGACTGGTGTACCCTACGGGCACTGCCTGATGCCCCTCAACATCCCCCAGAAAACATTTTTTGCAACGTCAGTATGCATAGTAAGATATAGCTAAAATTATGAAGTGCTAAGCGGACCTAGACTTTAGGCGCTGCATTCTGCTTTCCTTGATCTTTTTCCATTATATATGGCATTAATGTTTGTGTCTGCAGATTATTTCTTCTACAAATAACTACAACTTTTAGTCCTCTACTAAAATATCAGCTTCAGTTTCCCCTATATTAGTGCTTCCATACTGCAAAAATTAACCCTTCCACCTAAGCAGTCTCAACCCACTAACTCCTTGCCTGATATGCCAAATCTTTACCTCAACTGGTCACCAAGATAGGGTATGGACAGGTCCAAGTGATGCACCTCGTTTGCAATATTCTAACATAGCTGAGGTCGAGGTGGACATTACTGTACAAGCTATGGGAATTTCAGATGATTATTAATTCTGCCCATCATTTCCGCTATACCAAACATTAATGGGAGTTCGTTGGGTCAATATGGTTAACAGGGTAGTAGCTTACTGTCAGAACTGTATTGATATTAATCTGTAGGAAATTCACTGATATCAAATTTCTTGGCATCGTTTCATGTGCAAATGAATCGTTGATATCTGAGTACCATTTCCGTCGACAATTTTGATTTGTTTTTCCCAATAGCAGGGTAGGGCATGAGTTATATCAGGGAAATTATGGGGCAAAACAGGCTTAGATAAGAAGGATAGATAATCAAAATGTATGTAAATAGCAGTAAAAAAAACTAAAAAAATTGCCAATGAAACTGAAAGTTTATGCACTGATACATAAAAAAAAAAAAAAAAAAGGAATCCAACTCATCTTTCAGCTAAATCTATGGGATTTCACACCTTCCCCCCCCCCCCCCCCATTGTAACTCATAACCCAATCTTACCATTTAATTTGAGTTGCTGTCAAGGAGAACATTGATGGATGCTCTGCACCCTAACACCCCCTGGTACATATCTAACTGCGATGATTATTAAAGCCTATTTTTTCTTAGTTCCCAATGTATAGTCTAAAGAATAACCCAGAATTGACGCAACACTAAGAACTAAACGTTTCTCGCAGGCCTTCTATCACAGAATGGCCGGGAATCCTTCTATCAAAACTGGCGCCTGGAAATGCACATATGCAGATGCACAGAAGAATCTTTGGCCAGATTTTTGTATAAAACTGTTAAACAATTCGAAAACACACAAATGAGGATAATAACTTTATTATAGGCCATTGAAATCATAAATGTGGAACAGGAGACACAGATAATTAATAAAGATATCATTTAAGAGGAGCGTCGCAATACATGAACTATTTTTCATATCGTAATAATGAGTTCTGCTGTCAGTCCAGTGTTACTCTCGACGTGTAAACAAGATGATGTACTAGGTTAAAGTTGGGTTCTCACCTCTGTTCTTTTACTTACAGCACCTTTAGGAAGCATTTGCACAATATTGCTTTAGAAGAAAATTGTCTTGCTTTTTGTTATTCTATTTCACATATGTATTATTACCCAATTCCGCCACTACTTCATACTGCATATTGTCCGTTCATTGATAATAAATTTGATGAAACTCGATATATGATTGTGTTTTCTAAAATTTGCAGAATTTGCAAGGTCTTGCCTGCATTACAAAACTTATCAAATTTGACATTGATGAACCCCTCTCATCATTTCCTAACTAGAGACAGGAAAGTGGTCAGTCAAAATAATGAATATGTACAACATTAATATTGGAAACTCCCATAACTTGTACAGTAACTGGAATGGTGAGTAATGTTGATTATTTTTTCAGTCAAGGTAACCAGGCCTTCCTGGACAATATTTTTATCATCAGATCTATTCTTGTGTGATGAGAACGAATTTGATGATCATTTCCATGGCAATCACAGCTGACAAGCTTGATCTGATAGTCCCAAAGGCAGGAGGGGGTATGAAGTATATGGGAAATTACAGGGGAAAACGAGTTGAAATAAGAAAATAGAAAAAAATGCGTAAAACTAGTATAAGAAAAGCTTTAAATCGGCAAGTGAAACTCCATGAATGAACATTCATACAATACAGTCTTTATTGACCTAGGCAAGGCGTAGTAATGCATGAACTATCCCCTGGATGTCTGTGGGAATTATACTATATATTCTATATAATCACTTGCCTAAGCAACTAGAAATGGATGGGGGATATAACTTTGCTATCTCAAATAAAGTTTCCATGTTTTTTTTGGTATTAATTTCTGGAAATTATTTATTAAAAACCACGTACTTTTGAATAGTAAAGCATAAACCAAACTTTGATTTGGTTTCTTTCTTTGTCTTCTGCATAATCGTTATATTTTTTTATAAATGACACTGAATCATTGGAATACTAAGAATAAGGCATTTCTTACTGGCGCCCCCCAATCCTGTGCTTCTTGTTGTGGTTGCCTTAGGAGACAGGGATTGAGTGTAGGGAATTACCTCTACCTTGGATCTCGGTCCTTGCTTCAATTAATATTGTATGGTCTTTTCTTTTTTTCCTATTTCTTCTCTTCATTCCTATTAGCACTTACTAAGGTGGGAGAGAAGTGCTTAAATGATGTGTAAAAACTGCATGAAAAAGGCTGAAAATTAGTTTGTCAACCACTACAGACATGACCACCATCTTTGAAAAATTAAAGGCAGACATGTCAACTTTCAGAAAAGTCGAAGGGTGTCCAACCAATCTTTTGATAAAATTTATGGTCATAATGTCATTAAAAGCCCCTAGCATTCCCCTAGCCAGGGAGCTCTGCTCATTGAACCTATGGTCATTAAACAAAATGTCCTAACTCAATACTCATCTTAAGGGGACTGTCCCTGGCGGTGGGGGGGGGGTCGGGTATTTTGAGTTGGAGTGGTCGCAAATGAGTTAGTCAGTTTCATATTCGTATATGAGTGTAGAATTACCCACTTGAATATGAACTTCTGAATAAAAAATTTGGGCAAATCGCGAAGCCAGAACCCCCGAGTCTAATTGCCTCTGTGTAAGTGATCTTCATCTTTCCACACACTTGCTTTACAGGAGCTAAAATGAGGCATTGTATAATGACATTACCTATTCAATTGGATCACATGAAGATAAAGTGTCTTATCATAACAGTTTTTTCCCAAGGTGAAAGATGTATGATATGAAAAACGAAGGAAAATAAGAAATCCTTATGCAACTTTTCAAATTTCTTTCCCATAAAATAAAGTAGATATTACTCGTTTTTGTCATATTCACACAAGTATGCTTAGTGTTTGATGATAATACATGAGCAGTTACTAGTCAGTATCTCTAAAAATAAACTTGTAATGAATAGATGTTTACACGGGCTGGGCGCTCGCCTGCCTCAATGGTCGTCTCGGAGGGACCCAAATGAGAGTTCCAAGCATCGCCACCACTTTAGACTTTTTTGATTGCAATAATTTTATGTATGCACTTTCATGTGACATTAATAATCGACAAAACATCATGTCATCGTAAATCCTATTTACGAAAAAAACAAATGTAAAGAAAGAGTATGATATAATTTATTAGTGTAGACTTCTATAATCGGCCTACAAATATCTGATACTTATTGCTACATCACATGATGAAGTATCCATGAGAAACAAATATAAGCGATTTGTATTTCAAAATATTTTTGATATATCAACGTTTTCTGAACGGTCATTTCTAAAAAACGAGAAACTATTCATTGTCCCTCCATAACAAGTACTATGCTAGTGACTAAACGTTTATTGCTTGTTTTGAGGCAGAATCACGTGGTTAGACGATGTGGAAGAAGAGTAGACTA